TTTGAACAGTGGTTCAATTTACCCCCTGACCTGGATCAACCTACCCCTACACTGGGGCAAGTTGAGCCACAAAACTTTTTTTTAGGGGTGCACCGAATGGGTAATTCTTGGCCGAAACCGATGCCGAAAATAGGAAACAGTTGGCCGAAAACCGAATGCCGAAAATGATTAATAGAAATATATATATATATATATATATATATATATATGTATATTGTAATTGAACAATATACATATAAATATAATAGGATAAACAATAACAGAATGTAAAATGAAATGCTGTACAGTGAAAGGAAATTTATGTAGTATGCAAATGTCAAATAGCGCTAATGCAATGTTATAAAGTACATTTATTCAATGCTTCAGTACTATTTTGAGGTACTTGTACTTTACCTGAGTATTTTCATTTTATGCTACTTTATACTTCTACTCTACTACACAAACACATATTGTATTTTTTACTACACTACATTTATTTGACAGCCTTAGTAACTAGTGACTTTGCAGATTAAACAGAAGTTTGCATAAAAAACACAGAAAGCTATAAAATATTATATTTTATAGTTAAACTAGTCAACAGTCTGTACGAGGCAAGCTTGATGCATTATCCAACCATGCAATAGAATAGACTGATGATTAAATGGCATCTTTAAAAGGAAATAATAATAATAATTTTCTCATTTAAATGCATTTTGAATTTTTTTTTAAAACAATTCTGCTAATTTTTGCTTTAACTTTAAATATTTTCACTATATTTTCATGATAATTCTAATTTACGTATACCCAGGTAACATTTCCAATGCAGTACTTATTCAATATTAGTATTTTTACAGTGTGCTATTACTTGTACTTCTTCCACCACTGCATACAGGGCAGTTTCCCATCCTATGTAACTGCATGCACATTGCACTTTAGTAAGTGACTAGAATATAAATCTTGTTTATCTGCAAGTCAACTGGGATGCAGAACATTTATCTAACATTGATTTTGTAAGTATTTCCTTCATAAGACCTTATATGCATCACATCTTAGCATCATCCGTGCAGCCTAATTGAATTTAACATGATGCATTTTGCAGTATTTACAGAATCCATGCATTAATTAAGAGACAGAAAGCACACATGAATTATCTCCATATGTTAGAAACATGAACACAGACCGACCTGTGGAGCTGTCCTGGGTGCACGTGGAGCTGGAGGTCGCCATGGTGATCAGGCTATGATGGAGGAGGACATCCTGAGCTCAGTATGGAGAAGAGAGAGGATCCATTGTGTTTAACAGGGTCTAGTTTCTGCACACAGAAAGGATGCTCTCCGTTGCATTGGAAAACAAACAGAGCAGCTTCCTGGTTACCACGTGACTCCACTATCACGTGACTAGTGTTTGTTGCTAGGGAAACACTGGAAAACATCACAAAAAATGTTAGACAAAGAAAAGAAAATAACGAACGTAACAGACGGTAAAATTTTCCCATATACATTTAAATACAATAAAAATATTACCTTCTGTTATTTTTCATAAAATATTTGTGAAGTAGGCCTAGGGGAGAGTGGGGTAAGTTGAGCCATTTTTTTGTTATGCTGTCCTCTAAGCAAGGAGAAATGAGTAACACATAGTAAAAATGAAAACACACACAGTCTATATTTCAGGATGTCTCCTATCAATGGCAATGATAATAATTAATATTTGATCAAGGGCAGTGAAAATATTACTTCTTTTAAAAAAAAAAGTAGGGATGCACCAAATATTCGGCCACCGAAAATTATCGGCCGAAAGTTGTTAAAAAGGCCCTTTCGGCTAAATGTTTTATGGACCCATAATAGTGATTATTATTTAAGTTAAGTTTTGCCATAATCATGTCTTTTTCCATAATCAGGTAGATGAACAACATTTNGCTAAAGTACACTATAAAGGAACTACACATGCCTTCACCTCACCACTGCTAAGCTAAAGGGCGGCTAATGTTCTTTGAGGGATTGTTTGAATGACGTGCTGAACATTAGCCGCCCTTTAGCTTAGCAGTGGTGAGGTGAAGGCATGTGTAGTTCCTTTATAGTGTACTTTAGCTTTTTACTTAACTAAAATCATAAAAGTGGTGTTAATATGTGGAGATTATCCTGCTGGACAAAGCGTGTAAGTATCATTAATGTGTGTTTGCCACGGATCTTATTTTCTACAATATTCCAAAATTCAATGGAAAAATCCCATTGATTTTTCTCAAGGGAACCAGTGAGATGCTGCCTTCCAGGTCAGCCTACAGTACAAATAAAATGTCATCCCTGCTCGACTCTGGCTAAATATATTTTATTCTCTTTCTTTTTTTGTCATAGATCCTGATTGTGACTCTGAGAGCTGCGTTTCCTAACGTCATCCGCTTCTGTTGCTGCGTAGCGGCCATTTATATGGGCTACTGCTTCTGTGGGTGGGTTGTGCTGGGGCCCTATCATGCCAAGGTACGTACACACACACACACACACACACACACACACACACACACACACACACACACACACACACACACACACACACACACACACACACACACACACACACACACAGAATGAGCAAGCATGAGTCATTCAGACAGTCAGGAAGTCACCATGGCTTAATTCCCATAAACTGCCTCCAGCACGTCATTGTTATAGCTCTGTAAGATTAGTGAGCCAAGGAAAGTGACATTTATTCAATCTGAGTCATAATAACATGTGATGGATTTAGCTTGCAACGTGTTGTTCTGGTAGAAAAGGAGCAATGCAGCAACAAGTAGAAAGAATAACACTTGCAATAATTGAAACAATACACACAAACAGTTGTTTTTTAAATACAAAAGCCATCTCAATACTGCATTAATAACGTGTGTTCCTGTGTGTAGTTCCGCTCCCTGTCCATGGTGTCACAGTGCCTCTTCTCTCTGATCAACGGAGACGACATGTTTGTGACGTTTGCTGCGATGGAGCAGAGCAGCCCTCTGGTGTGGATCTTCAGCCAGGTCTACCTCTACACCTTCATCTCGCTCTTCATCTACATGGTGCTGTCGCTGTTCATCGCCCTCATCACCGGAGCCTACGACACCATCATGGTACGATTTCTGTCAGTCATTCTCTCGTCTTCGTGCATTTAAGGCCAGGCCTGTGGGGAAATAAATTAGACTCATACAGAATACATGATGGTAAATCTGAGGTAAAGTAGGAGTATCAGGACAGGAGTGAAATTGAAACAGGGAGAAAGATTTATTTTAAATGTTTGTATTTCAAGAATTCAGTTTATATCTAGAGAATGAAAGTCAACATTTTCATAATAGTGTTGAATTCATTTAAAAAGAAATATTGAGAATAAAGTGAAAATGTTGTGAAAATAAAGGAGGAAAAACCTTTTTAGGAAGTCAAAAGATTAAGGATAAAGTCAAAATGTGGAGATCAGAGTTGAAAAACATTTTGACAATAAAGTTTGTCGAGATACAATTCAGGGAATAAAGTGAAAATATTGAGAAACAAGTCGATTTATTGTTAATAAACTTGAACGAATAAAATCAACATTACCCAAATAAATCAAACAGTCAAAATATTGTGGATGAAGTTAAAAAATTAAGAATAAAGTCAAAAAATTGCCAATAAAATAACAATATGGTTAAGAATAGCATTTCTAGAATAAACACAAACAATTCAGAGAATAAAAAAAGATAGATAGATGTATACTTTATTGATCCCAATTTGGGAAATGCGTTTGTTACTGAAGCAGCAGTGTGTTCAGACATTAAAATACAAATACTTAAAAAGTGGAATAGAGAGAAAAAAACAATAAAATGAAAAATATTATATCAAATCAAAATAAAATATGATGTCCAAAATACTACAGGAGCATACTATATCTACATAGGATGGTATATCATGTGTAGATTAGAAACTTACAGCAGAAATCTTGGGAATGAAGTCAAACCGTCAGGAAAAAAGTAATAATGTAAAAAATGAATGTTTTTGATTGATTGATTTTATTTCGAACAAGTAAAATAAAAAAAACAAAAACAAATGTTGCAGTGCATATTCATGTAAAACAAATCAAAACATAGAAATGACAAAACAAAAAATGACATTTACAACAACAACAGCATTATCAACATAAACAGTGCCACATCTAATGTTCGAAAAGAAGTGAGAAGAAGTATAATTTATTTAATACCACCCCCTTGCCCTAAATGATTTATTTATAATTTGTAATCTGCAATAATTATCATTTTTATGCATTATTATTGATATTATTAGTATTATTAATCGGCTTTATCTGTTGATTGACATATATACATATACACATATACATACACATACATACACTGATATACATATATGCACACATACATATACACACCTACATACTCACACATATACACATACACATCGTCTCAAAAGTTGCTAACTTTTGAGAATAAGTCTAGCTAACTAGCATTAGCGTAACAAGTTGGACTCGAAATAGAAAACAAACAACACATCATCCTCCTCATGTATTTCCCTTATACTGCAGTCCTCTCTATGACTTATTAGTAAAACAGTTATACTCTTCTCCTGTATGAATCCCTCGATGGGTCAGTATGTAGAACATTTGAAATATTGAACCTTCCTCTCGTCTCCTCCTTAGGCTCAGACGAAGGAGCAGGTCCGAGTCAGCGCTCTGCACCAGTTCATCTCCGAGTGCAACGACACACCGAGCTCCGGAAAGTTCAGAGGACCAGAAGGATCCTCGTGCTCCTTCCTCTGCTGCTGTGAGTGGTGAGGAGGACGAGGAGGAGGAGGAGGAGGAGGAGGAGGAGGAGGATGATGATGATGATGATGATGAGGAGGAGTAGGATGATGATGATGATGATGTGTGTGTGTGTGTGTGTGTGTGTGTGTGTGTGTGTGTGTGTGTGTGTGTGTGTGTGTGTGTGTGTGTGTGTGTGTGTGTGTGTGTGTGTGTGTGTGTGTGTGTGTGTGTAAAGCACTATATTTCCTGTGACAGCTTCAAACACCCAGCAGGGACTCTGAATGCGTCGATAGAGAGAAGCGACTGACCTTGAACCCTCTGTCCTTTGCTGTCTGAAATTGTTGCATTTCGATTTGTCCGGGAACGCCTGAACGCACCGCACACAGGCCCAATTACCTGCTCGGGCTTTTGTACTGTATGAATAATTTATGGTCTCTTTGTGAAATGTCAGTTTGTCAAAGCTTTGATGACTACAACAATAATGCCAGTAAACATATTCATCGCTGTAGAGTGGATGCACATTTCCACCGGAACACACACAGCGGTTTATCATCATTTCATTGTCCACACGCCTTTTAGAATATGTAAATATGTGTCTGAATCTTCATAGGGATTATTAACCGCTGTGACTTTAGCCTCTCCAACCATTTCACTTTCAAGGTTGTTCCTCCGCTCGTCTTTTTTCGTATTTTTCGCTCTGTTCTCATCCTCCCCTGGCTGGAGGAGGAAGATGATGGTTTCACGAGGAAGGACCATTCATCATCAATATGTATCAAGTGTTATTGCTGTTAAGAGCCAGGTGACTAATGCACTGAGAGACTCTGCTGTGCTCTGTGCAAGGCAGCTGTCTTGTCAATTTTAACCAATGAGCTAGAAGTTTAAAGGGAAGCTTAATTCACAAAAATACCTTTTCTATATCAATAGCTCGCAGTGAAAACGTTCTCACATGGCTCCGCAATGAGCGAAGAATCCAAAATACAGAGACATTTCTTAGTTTAATGAAGAAAATGCGTTTAAAACAGTAAAATTATATCAAAACATTCATTTAAAACTCTCACACAATTTGTGGAGTTTAATCCCAGTCCGATGTATCTATTCGTATGCTCATTACTTACCAAATATATACATCTTGTCTAAAATATTACTATTTAAAATACTTTTTAATGAGCAGTGTCACACTTGCTAAGTTGCGCTACGCCTCCCTCTAAAGCAATGCTTCTCAAAGTGTGGTCCGCGGACCACTGGTGGTCCGTGAGCGCCCCCTAGTGGTCCGTGAATATATTGGTAACATTTGAAATAAATTAATTAATTTGAGTTTTCCGCACTCTCGCGGGAATATCTTCGCAATGGAGCGAGCATAAGTTTCACTTTCGATTGCATGATATAGCCCAGCGCAACACCTTCGTCACACATGTTACCACTTGTTTGTACCATTTTCAGGCGATTTGTAATCTGTTCTAGAAAAACGATGTGATTTTGGATATTTGTGGAGTTAGGTGGTCCGCGAGTGTTTTTTTATTGGTTAAGTGGTCCTTGGTATGAAAAGGTTTGAGAAACACTAAAGGTTTTAGTCGAAATGAATTTGCTTGTGAAGTAGTCAGCATACAATGTTGACTGTTTTGATAGTTTTGCTGTTAAATCTGCATCCATTTAGATCAATTCATTAAGAGTTTTGGGGATCCTTTGCTCATCTTGGAGGAATTTGAGAAAAAGCTGAATGTTCTTAGGTTTCAAGGTAACACTAGGTAATTCAATGATGAACAATGATCATTTTGTAGGTGAAATATTCCCTTAAATCAATTTTAACTAAGTATGTATGTGTTTAGGCTTTGTAGGGTAATACGTTGGCAGGTTAGGAGTTATATAATATATAATGTGTCAGACTTCACTGACCTTGATGCCTGTTTGAAAGCTTAATTGCTCTTTTATATTATCTGTAAATGAAAAAGGGTATTTCTGCAAACCAGCAAGTCTTCATTTCACCTTTTTTGAACTTATTATATTCAAAATATCCTATATTAGAAGCGGACTGATTTTCTTCAGGCTCATTAATGGCGCTGTTTATTGGAAAAGGGACGTTCACTGCACAAAATGTTTCAGGACTAAAAGGTGTATTAAATTATTGTTATGCTAACTTATATGAATGACTTTTGTTTACTATCACAACACGTGTTTACACTTTATGAATGTTTATTTACTCTTCATTATTTGCACCGTATTTAGACTGATTCACTTGATTTCAATGCGTCGTTATGGTTTTATGTTAACAGTGTTTTTATTTAAAGCTGCTTTCTTAAATTTTTTATACTGTCTTAATTATTTTGTATTGATATTATTTGAGTATTCATTTCTGTATAGGAGTACAAGTTTTAATGGTAATTTTTATGAATTCTGTTCTGTAAAGCTGCTGCCATCTGAATGAAAACATTTCAAGTCAAATAAACTGGAAAGACTTCAAAATGGTGTATTTATTCTTTATCACAGCAGACACATTGTATGCCCGTTTTAAAAGTCAGATGCTCACTAAAATGTCATGTCACAGTGGTATAGAGATAACGCGCTGCATTCAAGTGCTCTTCAGATTGTCCTCTTTTCTGAATTGAGAAGTCGATCCTGATACTTCTGTGTGTTGGTGAGTAATATGGGAACAACCACAGACTTTATAGGAAAAAAACGTGGACGCTACAAACAACACGCTTTTTTTTGCTTCGACAGTTTAAACACATGTTGATAGCTGCTTCCAGTATTTTGGTTGACTTGATACAAGTCTGCTAAAACAGAAAGAAGGTTCTTATCAGAGATGTTGTCCCAGATGTGTTGCTTTCTCACAAAGGTCTGTCTACGTGGACGACTACTACCTGTTCTGTATCTGATAGCATATTAAAAATGACGTGAGCAAAAAATGTACATTCAATTCAGGAATATTTAAAATGTCCTTACCATCAACAAAACATCAGCTTGCGCAGTTGATCTATAAACTACAGTTTAACATGACTCCATGTCACTTCCGCTAAGCTAAAGGCGGCTAATGTTGGGCCTGAAGACGTTTAGTCGTCTCATTTTAAAACTTGTTGGCAACCTCTGTTTTTAAATTCACCAGTGGGGTATTTACTGGCGTATGTTATATCGTAGAACAAAATTGTAATCGCTTAAACTTGTGTTGACCACAGAGCCTTTTTTCATGCTAACAACCAAAAACATATTAAATAAACCTTTGCCTTCAAGCAAGAGAACATAAAGCGCTAAAATGCTGACTCACGTTCAGGTTTTAGGATTCATTCCTGCACCACTAACGGTACGTCCACATGGCAGCATTGCGTACTTCAACGGAGACGCTTCCCATTCGTCACGCTTTGCCGAACTGCATTGTGGTTCCGTCGCTTTGCCTCCGTTACTCGCTTCAAAAGTTTAGAAAAGTTCAACTTTTCAAGCGTTGACGGAAGCACCAGCCAATCAAATCATATGCCAGTACAAGCTCTAGCCAATCAAACCGCGTGCTTGTGTGTCCGGGGCGGGAGATTAATGTGATTGGTTGTTGGTCGAGCGTCAGACATGCCCGCCGGCAAGCTTCAACGCACGCCGCCGTGTGTAGGGAAGTGTCACGGTACGTCCACACGGCAGCGACGCGTTGAAGCTTGCCGTTGGGCTTGTCTGGCGCGCACGCGGTTTGATTGGCTATTGTACAGGCATATGATTCGATTGGCTGAGGCTACGCTTTGCTCCCACAATGCAGTTCGGTGAAGCGTGACGTCACCCCATTCAAAGTGAATGGGCAGAAACGTTGAAGCTTCAACGCACGCCTCCGTGTGTAGGGGCCGTAGAGCATGAGCCCTTAGTGTGTTGTGTTAGTCTGTCACCACTAGAGGGAGAAAGCAGCCTCTGTCTGCAGACACCAACCAGCCAATCACAGGAAATCAAACCCTGAGCCAAGACTAATATAAGGAAATGCTGCTGTAGAAGCTAAAACCTAATGAGGAGGAGAGGAGTGGCGAGACAATAAGAGAGGGAGCGGTTTGCTGCCTTCATTAAAGATGAATAACGCTGACTAAGTTAAGTGCTTAACCTTCTAGTCTACCATTACCAGAAACTGCTTCTCAAGGTTAACGAGTTAGACGGAGAAAAATATGCAAATGGACGAAAATTAGAGGTAATTAGAGGGGAGGATGAAGGCAGATGTGCACACTCACTCCTCTCAGTGCGGAGGAGTAGCACGGCTGTCCAATATCCTCTGTACCTGCATGAATTATTTACTCCAGGATGCTGCCAGGGGCGAAGCACTCAGAGTCAGACTGACAGGAAGTGGGTAGCCTTCAGGGTAAAGCTGATTAAAAAGTCCCTTAGAGAAAACCTCCAGTCAGGCAGTTTCCAGTTAACTGCAGTCCCATGCAAATCCTATATGAAGTAGTATAGCTGCAGTATTACCACCCGCACAATTAATTGAAGGCATCTGTAATTATTATTTAGTAATGTGATCATATACAGTAGGCCTTTATGTTTCTAAAACTGGTCATTCTGCATAATCAGTCTGTTATGTTTACTTTTGATACTTTAAGTGTATTTGAATGCTCATAATGTATGGTGGGTGCAAACGTGCTACAACGACCCAAAACATTTCCATTAGGAAAACGATGCAAATGAAGAAACATTGGTTAAAAATGTGACATGACATTTTTAGGGGAAATAAAAGTGTTACAGTACATGGACTTCCTGTTTGTTTAAAAAAAAGAGGCGGACCCAACTGTTTTTTTTGTTGCTTATGTTTTGATGAGCTCCTTTTCCTCCTCAGCCTCAGGCACTAAGAATAATGTTACCACGAAACAAGCTGCGTTCAATAACTGCCTCCAGACCATTTGGGTACATAACCAGAAAAGATATACAGCAGGTGTTTTATCTGCATTTTCATTCAGATCATCATATTCCCTGCAGAACAAACATGCATGAGATACCGACAATGGTTCTTTATTTATGAGATTCACTTGTATGTTAAACCGTTCTTCTTCACGTGTTTCCTGCTGAGACTGCTGCTGCAGCTTTCTGCATGTTAACGAAGTGCTGTGCTGGCATGTTCTGCTCTTCAGGGAGTCCATAGGCG